GCCGGGTGACAGGGCAGCTGTGGCTCCCGTGGTTCACACGCACGGCGGGCCGGCGTGGAGCCGGGTGACAGGGCAGCTGTGGCTCCCGTGGTTCACACACACGCACGGCCGGCGTGGGGCCGGGTGACAGGGCAGCTGTGGCTCCCGTGGTTCACACGCTCACACGGCTGGCGTGGAGCCGGGTGACAGGGCAGCTGTGGCTCCCGTGGTTCACACACACGCACGGCTGGCGTGGGGCCGGGTGACAGGGCAGCTGTGGCTCCCGTGGTTCACACGCACGCACGGCCGGCGTGGGGCCGGGTGACAGGGCAGCTGTGGCTCCCGTGGTTCACACGCACGCACGGCCGGCGTGGGGCCGGGTGACAGGGCAGCTGGCCGGCCGGTCATTCGCCCGGTGCCTGTCCTCACACAGATTTCCCCCAGCGACACCCGGTCCTCCCCTCCAGAGAGCGCTGGCATCTGGCCTACTGCAGATCCGTCCTCGCTCTCATTTCACAGAGGAAAACAGAGGCCGCGTCAGAGACACCCCAGCAGGGCAGCACCACGGGCCACCCAGAGGCATCTGCATGGAGCCTGCCTGGGCCTGGCAGGTCTGTCTGGGAGCCATGGTCAAGGCGGGCCGAGCGGGCACCCCAGCCTCCCGCTGGCCCCTGTCCTGAGCTCAGGCAGAGGAGGAAGCCTCTCCAGTCCTGCCGTGTGCCCATCCCCAGCCTCAGCCCACGCTGTAAGAAATATCCGTGATCTGGTGAAGCTGGGCACGCTCAGGGAGGCCAAGGAGCCCAGCGGCCGCTCTCCAGAGAGCAGGAGAACAGGCCGGCTCCCCAGCGTGGCCCGGGAGGGCAAGGTCACCTGGGGTGTGGCCCAAGGCCACCCAGCCCCGCACGGGGGACAGCTCCGAGGCCACACTGCTCTGGAAGGCAGTCGGCAGTGTGCGCCACGGAAGAACCGTGTCCCATCAACACGACGGTAAAGCCGGGCGCCGGCGGCTCAAACTGTCATCCCAGCTGCTCAGGAGGCTGAGATCTGAGGATCACTGTTCAAAGCCAGCCCAAGCAGGAAAGTCCGTGAAACTATCTCCAATAAACCACCAGAAAACTGGAAGTGGTGCTGTGGCTCCAGTGGTAGAGCGCTGGCCTTGAGCTGAAGAGTTAAGGGACAACGCCCAGGCCCTGAGTTCAAGCCCCACGACTGACATAAATAAATAAATAAATAAATAAATACAAACAAACAAATAAATAAAATGACTGTGACTAGCCTGGGCATGATCTGTGGGCTGGCATCATGGGGAAATGAGAGAGACAGATAGACAGACAGACAGAGACAGAGCTGGAGACAGAGCTGGAGGCGTGTTCTGAATGAGGGCTCCCACACAGGTAACTTTCACTGAGTGCCAGCCTGAGGCCGGCGGTCTTCTACAGTTTGGATTGTTTCTGTGCTGCCGGCATTGGAAGGCCGTTTGCAGACGGCTCTGTGAATAGCTCTGTGGGGACCGTTCTGAGGCCTTTAAGAAACCCACAACAGAGCATCACCTGGCTGTGAATTCAGCCATTATGGACGGAGCGGGCGAGAGCGGCGGGGGGAAATGAAGGACACAGCTGTGCCGGGGCCTCAGCCCTGGCCGTGCGACGGGGAGCGGGCAGAAGGGCTCGGCAGGACCTAGACACACACAGACCACGGCTATGCAGCGCGCTGGGCCCAAACACCCTGTGTCAGCGGGGGAAACTGAGGCCCGAGAGTCAGCTGACTTGCGTTACTGTGTGCAGTGAGGCCGGCATTGCTGGCAGCCCCCGCTCCCGTTCCCGCTCTGACGCAGGGGCCGGGCGGGCTCTGTCCTGTCCAGGCTGCAGTCGGAGCCCCGGGCACGGCCGGCCCAGCGGCCCTGGCAGCAAACCTCTGCCCTGACCTGTGACTTCAGTCCAGGCGACGCCCCTCCTCCTGCTCACCCTTTGACCTCCCAGGCTGGGGGCCCAGGCCTCCCCAGGGCAGGGGGGGGCAGCTGCAGGAGCAGCATTGTGGGCTCCTCTCCACGGGGGCAGCGCTGGCCTCCGGAAGCCCGAGACCGGCCTGCCCCAGCAGGTCCCCACGCCATGGCACACAGGAAGAGGCGCCGCATGGAACCGTGTCTGGCCAGCCTCTGGGGCTGGGTCCCGGCTCCTGGGCCTCTGGGGCTCTGACCAGTGGGCACTGCTGGTGTCAGGCAGGGGACGATCACTTACTGTCATCGGCAGCCTGACCGGTGCCAGGGGCAGCGGTCCAGAGCCCTCTGCCGGCCGTGGCTCTGCCCCTTGCACTGCAGGGATCCTGGGCAGGGCCTGGTGGCCCCCAGCAGGCTGCGGGGGGCCGGGGCGGGGCGTGAGGAGCCCCCAGCCCCAGGAGGAGGCCCCCACCTCAGAGCCCGGCGCTTCCCGCCCCCGCCCGCCGCAGGCCCGCACGCTCACGTCATGACCAGCGTCTCCTCGCCGGGCTCACTCAGCAGCCCGTCCACGAACACCGAGGTGCTGGTGAAGTTGTGCGTGCTCCAGGTGAGGCCCTCATCCACGCTGAACCTGTGTGCGAGGCGTGCAGTGTGAGGGGTGGGTGGCCGCCCCCCCTCCCCTGCCCAGGGGACTGGTCTCTGGGGCCAGTCCCACACCTGGCCCGTGCCAGGCCCCCAGCACCGCCAGGCAACCCCACCCGCCCAGCGCTGTCAGTCAGCCCGACGTGGGCCAGCTGCGGGCGTGGGCCAGTGCCGGCCTCCGGACCATGGGTGGCGTGGCGTCGTCATCGTCCCGTTCCTACAGCTCTTCCTGACTGAAGTGACGCTGGCTTCCGCCTCTGCCTCCCTCCCAACCCCACCTCCCCGCGGGCCTTTCTCCGGCTTCAGGCTGCTGTCAGAACTCCAGCCCGGCGTGCGCCACCGGCTCCCGGCCCGCCCCATTTTGCCCAGCCAGGCTGTAAGGACTGCCATGTGGTCTATATTGCCCACTGCCCACCTCCAGGACCAGGAATGGTTCTGGGGAGACCTGTGACCCCACAACCCCGCCCCAGCCCCCCCTGCTCCCGCCCCCCCGCCCCCCAACCCGCCCACTGCCTCACTTGAGGATCTTGAGGGGGATGGAGGTGTCCTTGATGGCCGCGATCACGCCGCCGTGGTCCAGGTAGAGGACGTGGTGCTCCTCCTCGAACACCTGCGGGCACAGCGGGGGCTGAACGCAGGCGGGCGGCCGGGGCCTCAGGGAGGGGCACGGCAGAGCCAGGCCTGGGCAGAGCTAGTCTGAGGGCCCGCCACACCCCTGAGCACCCCTCCTCCAGGAGGGCGGTGAGCAGCAACTCTTAGACCTGGACGTGAGGGAGAGATGCGTGGGAAACGGGGGTGGGGCTGGGTGGGAGGGACTCCCGTGTGGGATGCGGCCTGGAAGCGCGGGCGCTCCCCGGGGTAGAGACACTGGAGAAACACTGAGGCGCAAACTCCAGTCTGGCATGGGCACCACACAGGCGCAGGCTCCAGGGTGCCCTCTGACCCTGGGTGGGCGGGGCTGCCCTCACCGACCCTCATTTGCCCCTCCCCCTGTCCCCAGAGGACGCCCCCTGGGGGTTAGCTTCCTGCCTACCAGCACCCGGGGCTGGTGTGGTCCTTGCTCACGGCAGGATGCCAGGTGCCCCCTGCTCTTCAGTGGACATCAGGCCCCAGGCTGGATGCCACCTAATGTGGTACCGTGGGTCCTGGCCACACCACCGCCCCTCCCCGCTCGGCATGCCTCCTCTTCACGGCCTCTCAGGCCTGTGGCTCCATCGCAGAGCCTGGGCCCGGGCTGCGCCCACAGTCCTCCCGTCACCTCTGCCGAGAATGTGTGCCCAGGGCCCTGGGTGGAACCTGTGCCCCCCTTTCTGACCTGCGTGTGAGCCTTTAAGGCTCTGCTCCTCCCGGGGAGCCCCCTCCCTGCCCCCAGGGGCTGGCAGCTGGCTTTGGGCAGCTGGGGCAGAAGGGCAGTGCTCCGGAGCCTGGCCTCTCCCCGGATGGCCCTGGTGTGCTGAGCCCCAGGTCCCCCTGACAGGACTCTCAAGCTTGCTCTGTCCCCTCCTCCACACAGGACAAGTGACAGGGCCTGGCTGGCCTCTGCCCACAGACGGGTATCACCAAGCCACATCCGGGGATCCCGGAGAGGGAGCTGGGCTTTTGAGTCCACAACCCCGTGCCTCAGTGGGTCACCGGGCAGCGGGAGAGGAGACCCACACCCTGTTTCTGGGCAGCGTCTCCCTGCCTGTCTCCTCCCTCCCAAGGCCCCCCAGCCCCCTGGAGGTTCACATTTGCCATTCTGACTCTGCAGGGAGCTCTTGCTGCTCACGGTCTTGTGGGCCTGATGAGGCGGCTCTGTCCCGGGCCCCTCCTGTTCGGTGCCACCTGCTAGCACATCGCCACACATCCCTGTGCTTTTAGCTACTCTGTCATCCGCCTGGATATCTGCTCTTCCACTTCCTCCTCCTCTGGGTAGACGCAAAGACCCGGCATGGACCCCTCTGCCTGCCCCGATGTGCACATGTGCGTGCCCACACACACGCAGGTGCCGCGTCCTCTGCCACCTCAACCCCATCACCGGGCAGGGAGCGGAAAGGCCGGGCGCCCCACCCTGCCCCATCACCGGGCAGGGAGCGGAAAGGCCGGGCGCCAGCCTTGCAGTGTGCCAACCGCTCCTCCAGCATCACCCCAAGTTTGTAACCCCAGCAAGTTGCTCTGTGCACGTGGCCACCAGCGCACTTCATGATGGGTCCCTAAAAGTGAGCGTCTGGCTGCGTCTTCTGGCTGGGGCTCGGGGTTGATGGACAGACACGGCCTTTCCATACTTCAGATGTGCTTCGCCATGCGCAGTGAAGAGGAATGCTATGGTGAAATACACCTTTTGCCCTTTTCCAAATTCCTTGCACACTGTTAGGAAACTCAGGCCCCCACCGCGGCGGCCGTGCGCGCAGTGTGTTCGGCATTAGCCTGTGCGCACTGGACACACGCATGCGTGCGGGAGAGGCTGGCCTGGAACAGATGACCAGACCCTTCTCCCAGCATGCAAGAGCCATCCCAGGCTTCAACGTGCCATCAGGCCAACACCTGCACATCTCCCAGCATCCTGGGGCAGGCTCAGCATGACCCCCAGCCTCCTCTGCCCTGTGTCCTCCACTGTCCACCCATCCGCACCTGTGGGGACCAGAGGTCACCCGGGCCCCACCCTCTGGCCCTTGGGCCTCCTCCACCTCTGTGCCTTCCCTTGTCCCTTTCCTCTGGTGCCCTGGTGGCATGTCTGACCACAAAGCATGCCTTGGATCTGCAGTGCCCACCTGGCAGAGCCCTAGCTGCTAGGGGCCCCTGGTTGGCCATTGGGCTGGCAGGAAGGTAGGCCCCGCTTCTGTGAGTGGAGGGGTGACGGCCCGGATGCAGTTCCTGGAGCGCTGGTGGGTTGGGGGCGCAGCAGGGCCCAGGCCCCTCCCACCCCCTTACCTGCCGCCAGGTGCGCCCACAGTCCGACGTGATGTACATTTCCTCCTTGTACTCCACCAGCTGTGAGCCCAGGTTACCTGGACCAAAGGAAAGGGGGGCAGCTGCGTTCTTGGAGGGAGCTACCTTCTCCCTCCCCACCTTCACCGTGGGCAGAGTGAGGGGCCCTGCCTCCTGGGTATTTCCACGGCCAGAGCATGGCCTCCTCTTCTAACAGGGGCCTGCTGAAGCTGTGGGGCACAGCAAAGGCCAGCCCTTCCCCGGGAGCCAGACCCAGGGCTCCAGCTGTGGCTCAGGTTTAGAGGGAACTTGAGCCTTCACAGCTGCCTGGAAGAACACTCTGACAGGTCACAAGACAGGACAGTCACAGCCACCTTGGGAGCTGGTCTGGCCTGCCTGCTACAGTGCCCATCCACCAATCCATCCATCCACCATCCATCCATCCATCCATCATTCACCCATCCACCCACCAATCTATCCATCCATCTATCCACCAATCCATCCATCCATCCACCAAGCCATCCATCCATCTAATATATCTATCCATCCATCATCCATCCACCCACCAATCCATCCATCCATCCATCATCCATCCATCTATCCACCAATCCATCCATCCACCAATCCATCTATCCATCCATCTATCTATCCATCATTCATCCATCCACTCACCAATCTATCCATCCTTTCATTCACCAAACTATCCATCCACCAATCCATCCACCCACTACCCACTCATTCATCATCCATGCATTTGCCTACCAATCATCATTCATCCACCAACCCATACATCTCCCAATCCACTCATCCACCAATCCATCCATTACCCATCCATCTATCCATCCTTTCATTCGCCATTTCATCCATCCATCAACCATCCACCAATCCATCATCCATTCATCCATCTATCCACCAATCTATCCATCCATTCATCATCCATCCATCCACCAATCTATCCGTTACCCATCCATCTACCCACCAATCCATCCATCCACCAATCCATCTATCCATCCATCCATGCATCCACTCACCATCATCTATCCATCACCCATCTATCTATCCACCAACACATCCTTCCCACCCCTTGTCTCATTCCCTTCCTACCTCCCATCTTTCCCTCCTTTACTTTTTATTTCTTCCCTCCTTCCCTTCTTACCTCTCATCTTTCCTTCCTTTATTTCTGTGTTCTTCTTCCCTCCCAACCACCCCTCCACCATTCATGACTCCATTATCATCATCTACCTATCCATCCCTCCATCATCGATGGATTCATCCATCATCCATCCATCCACCCTTCCACCCTTCTACTCAGCCATCACATGCCTCCATCATACATTCACTGTATTTTCTTCTTCAGAATGTTCCAGAAGAGCTGAGGCTCATGGAAAGCCTGTGTTACGGCCCCTGCCAAACACACCATAGTCCCAAGTCCCTGGTGCTACTGGTCTTCAGCCTTGAGGAGGGAGCTCCTGCAGAGCGAGCACCCACCTGCACCCATGATGAGGCCGGGGGCGGTGTCCTTGGTGTGCACAGTGCCTGACACGTAGGGGCTGTCTGCCCAGCGCAGGTGCAGGTGCAGGTGGCACTCCGGCTGTGGGGGAGGGAAGGAAGTGTGGTTAGCACGTGGCAGGAATGGCCTTGGGAGATCAGATCCACCTCCGGGGTTCCAGGGCTGTGTTGCAGCAGTGGAGGAAGTGCGGGAAGTGGGTGCTGGGGCTGACCGTGGCTTGAAGGGTGGCAAGGATGGGCGTGGCCCCAGCAGATACTCTTGGGCATCCTGGGGCGGTGGGAGTGGCGTGGGGGCCAGCAAGGCACCCCAGGCTAGGCCAGTTCTCTACTCTAGAATGGAGACCCCCTGCATCTGGGGGGAGGGCCTCCATCTCTAGGGAGCTTCCTATGGCCTGGGTCTCCACAAGGGGGACTTCTTTTTTTTTTTTTTTGTCGGTCGTGGGGCTTGAACTCTGGGCCTGGGCGCTGTCCCTCAGCTCTTAACCCAAAGCGAGCGCTCTACCACTTGAGCTACAGTGCCACTTCCGGTTTTCTGGTGGTTTATTGGAGATAGGAGTCTCATGGTCTCTCCTGCCCTGGCTGGCTTTGAACCTCGATCCTCAGATCTCAGCCTCCTGAGTAGCTAGGATTACAGGCGTGAGCCACCAGCGCCCGGCTTACAAGGGGGACTTCTTACGATGGCCCCACATGTAGGGGTGAGCCAAGGTATGTGATTGCTAGAACCTACAAAGCTCACACTAACTCCATCCACATCTGTCCATGTACTCATCCATCCATCTTCTCATGAACCTATCCCTTCATCTACACACCTGCTAATCCATCCACCCACCCATCCATCCATGCATGTATCTGTCTGTCCATGCATCCATCCACTAACCTACCTACTCATCCATCTGTCCTCTTCCATCTATCCATCCATGAGTCCATCCACGAGCCTACCTACTCACCTATTTACTCATCCATACATCCATCTATCCATCCACAAATCCATCCATCCATCCATCCACCAATCTATCCATCTATGCATCCATCCATCTACCCATGCATCCACCTCATGTATCCATTCATTTATCTATCTGTCAACTTACTTATCCATCCATCCATCCATCCGTTCATCCCATCCATCCATCCGTCCATCTATCCACCCAGGACTTTATTAAAGGGGGTCGGGGTATAGCTCAGTGGTAGAGCACTTCTCTACTGTGTATGAGGCCCTGGATTCTATTCTCAGAGCTACAAAGGACAGAGAAAGGCATTTGCTCAGTTGCACCTTCGTGGGGGCCTTGGATGTGTCCAGCAGTCCCTGTCGGAGTAAAGTTGGTTGCCCATGAGCCACTACCTCTCTTTCAGGGAGGAGAAAGCCCCAAGGACTAGCTCTGGAGGCCCCACCAGCAGACTGGACCCTTGGAGGAGAGGCTCTGAGGGAGGCCCCCTGTCTGCAGGAGGAGTGGCCTGACCCGCCCTGGTGGGATGGTGGAGGCTCCATGCAGCGGGCGTCTGGATGCCGTGCCTATGGCACAGCCCTGTTTGGTGGCCTGACTCCCCTGGAGGGCCAGGGGCAGCCTGCAGTGCCAAGACCATGGCTGGTCTCCTCGCCTGCTCCTGGCAGGCCAGGCTCCCCCTGGGTGGAGATGGAGGGGCGTCTGAGGCTGCCTGGGTGAGGGGGAGACGCGAGGGCTGGAGACGCATGGGCCGCAGCTGCCCAGGCAGAGGAACTCGGGCATCTGTCGGCTCGGCGGGTGGTGGGGCATCCGGTGAGCCCCACGCAGCCCTGGGCTTCCCTTCCTTGCACGTTCCCCACACAGGGCTGCAGTGTCTGGCTCCTCTCCCCAAAGGTGAAGGTCGGAGGGGCTCCCCGGCCACCCGGACCCCACCTCTTCACCCGTCTTCACCTCTCCCCTAGATCTCCACAGGCAGCGGAGAATCCTGGATGGCTAGAAAGCCTTTTCCATGGGAGATTCGCCATGCTAGAACACTCATGGAGCACTGGACTGTGGAAATGACCCCATTTCACTGTTGCTGGAAAGAGCTGCCCCCCACAGTGCCAGCCAGGGGAAGATTCTTGATCCAAGAACAAGAGCAAACCTAGGCCAGCCCCGGGGCCCAGGGACAACTTCAGGGCGTGAGCTGGTTGGGCGGGGCTGATGGCCGTCCCGCCTGGGCTATGACAGTCCACCGCTTTGCTCCGAACACATTCCCAATTATTCTGGCGTGAGCAGGAGCCCTCGGTGAGGAGCAAGCCCTCTGGGCAGTTTGTCCTCCACGCCCCGGGAGTGGGCAGCTGGCCTGTCCATTCATTTTCCTGCTCTGTGAGCGTGTGCACGCTCTGGCCTGTGTGTGCACACACCTGTGTGTGACGGTAGTGGGGCGTGAACTCGTGGCCTTGAACTCTCATTTGTTTTTTGTTTTTTCACTCAAGGCTGGCACTCTACCACTGAGCCACGTCTGCCATGTCCAGCTTTTGGTGGGTAATCGGAGGTGAGAGTCTCATGGACTTTCCTGCCCAGGCTGGCTTCACACGCTGATCCTCAGACCTTAGTGCCTGGCAGGAATTCTCCTGCTCTTGGACGCACCCCGGGCCGTGCAGGCAGGAAGTGCTGGAGTTCCCAGCTGAGACGCCAGTGGGTGTCCTTGGTGGTCCACGGGCTCATGGGGTAGTTCATTCTCCACGTCCTCCATGCTCCCTGGGGCGCTCTGTGCGCTGCCCGGGCACCACGCTCCTGGCTTTGCTCCTCTGATTAGTTTAAGGCTGGGACATAAATCTCACAAAGGTTATCTCTTCACTGAGCTGTGTAATCACAGACAAGAAGCTATTCTTTGCAAAAATTTGCTTTGACAGATTAATGTGGCTTAACTTTCCTGATGATGATACAAAAATTAGCCCTTTCGCAGAAAATCTGGTCCTGGGTGGCATTTTGAAATCGGCAGGTGATTGAGTTTCCAGGCGGGTGGGTAAACATCGGGGCCCTGCCATCTCCACGGGCCGGTCCCGTGCAGAGCTGAGCGTGGCAGGGGTGAGGAGTGGGGGCACAGCCAGGGCTCAGAGAGCGAGCTGGGCCCTGCTGCCTTAAAGCCAGCCGCAGCCGCTGTCAGGGCCAGCCAGGGCCTGATGTAGATGCGGGAGGGACCAGTCCTGCCGTGGTGGTTTTGGCATCGGAGAAGCCCAGACTGTGGCCGGCAGGGTTTGGTGCTGGGCAGGTTCACATCAACTCAGGGACTCCTGTCCTGTTCATTCTGTATGTGAGCAGCTAGGCCCGAGCCTGGCCAGTGTGTGTGTGTGTATGCACGCATGCGTGTATGTGTGTGTGTGTGTGCGCACGCCTACACACACACTGCTCACACCCCCATATACCATGTGTACACACACACATACCCTACACACCACACATACACACACCATGCACACACACAGAGGCTGGTGTGTATTTGTTGGAGAACACTGGGGTTGGAGGGGAGGAGGAGGAACCAACAGAGCCGAGGCCCGCCTGCTGGGGTGGGCGCTCCCACACATGGGGCCACTGCAGCCACGGCCGCCGAGCACCGAGCTGAGAAGGCTCCCGCTGTGCGGCCGGCTGAGCACACAGCAGCCGGGCTTGCCCATGGCCGGGACCCGCTTTCCTGCCCTCTCTGGTCCCCTCCACCTGCTCCGTGGCACGGGCCGCCCTGGGTCCTGCATGGAGCCCGGCGGTCGTCCCGGGCAGTGTCCGGGGGTGGCCCCCCCCACGGCTGGCGCTGTGCGGCGGGGGCAGGGCACCTACCGGCTGGCAGTTGGTGGGTCTCCCGTTCATGTCGGTGCTGGGCGGCCTCAGGTAGTCCCAGTCTCGGCCCTTGTTGTAGGTGATGAGCGTTGTCACCTTGCCATCAACCTTCTGGTTTGCCAGGAAGACTCCTTTCACCCCTCGGACCTGTGACCAGCACAAGGAGGGCAGAGCGGCCTGAGTGACCCGAGGCCCGCGTCCCTCCTCCCCACGCCCCCCCCACACCCCACTGCCCGGCCTCCCCTCAGGGCAGGGGATGGAGGCCCGGGCACGGCCTCCCACAGGAGCCCGGACCTCTGTGCGGCTGGCTCCGCCATCCCAGGGCCTGGCCGTCCGATGAGGAGAAAGCCCTCCTCCCCGCTGCCTCCCTGGCCTCTGCTGCCAGCCGCGGCTCAGCTCCTTCCCACGTGCGGCCCGGGCTTCCCACGGAAGCCTCTCAGCTCACTTCCCCCAGGAAACCCCCAAGGAGAGGGATGGGGCCGCTCACCCAGCCTGCCCTGGCCAGGGCCCCCACTGCCTTCAGGGCTCGCTTTCTCCAGGAAGGGCCGAGGCCCGAGGGACGCGTGCAGCCCGAGGCCTTCTGCACGCTGTGTTTGGCAGAGGACCCAGACCTGAGTGCCCTGAAGCCACCGTGAGGCCGACAGGCACAGGACGGGCCTCTCCCATCCCCGTCCCCGGGGAGACGCTGTGTCTGCCCCTCTGAACACGGCATGGCATGGCTTCTTCCAAAATGGCTCAGGAAACCGGGCACACAGGGTTGTGCGGTCACACAAAACGTCCTAGCTGAAGATGACGGACGGTAAAGCTCAGAGAAACGCTGCCAAGTTACGAGCACTCCTGTGGAGGGCACTGGGATGAACGAGCACCTCCCGCTCGAGTCTCACAGCTCTGCAAAGCCCATGATGTCTGTCCCGCTGTACAGGACTTGCAAGGGCAAGAGGCGGACAGCAGACCAGTGATGTGCTGGCCGAGAGGAGGGCAGGTGGACAGACAGACGGATAGGTGGGTAGATAGGTGGGTGGGTGAATGAATGGGTTGAGGGGTGGCTAGATAATAGATTGATGCAGGTATGTATGTGCATATCTGTGTATATTTGTATGTGTAGACAGCGGACGGATGAATAGATGGATGATGGGTAAATGATAGGTAAACAGATGAGTGGTGGATGGTGGGTAGGTGGATGAATGGGTGAGGTATAAGGTGTGAATAGGGGTGGATGGATGGGTGAGTAGAAAGGTGAATATCTGGGTGGGGAGATGGTTGGATGGACAGATGAAGAGATAATGGATGGATAATAAATAGATGAGTGGATAGGTTGATGGATGGATGGATGGAGGAATGGCTGGATGGAGGGATGGATGAGTGGATGGATGGATAGGTAGGTAGGTGGATGGCTGGATGGAGGGATGGATGAGTGGATGGATGGATAGGTAGGTAGGTGGATGGCTGGATGGAGGAATGAATAGGTGGATAGGTAGGTAGAGTTGGATGGACGGAGGGATGGATGGATGGGTGGATGGGTAGGTGGATGGATGGAGGGATGGATGAATGGGTAGATGGGTAGGTGGATGGGTGGATAGGTAGGTAGAGAGTTGGATGGATGGAGGGATGGATGGATGGGTGGATGGGTAGGTGGATGGATGGAGGGACGGTGTATTATTTTCCTGTTAATGTGTAACAAAGCCACCATTTTACAGCTCTAGAGATCAGCAGCATGACCAGGTCTCTGAGTGAACATCAAGGGTCAGAAAGTTCGTGTTCCTCTCTGGAGGTTGTTGGGGAGAATGTATTTCCTTCCTTCTTCCAGCTTCTTGAAGCTGTTTGTGTTCTTTGACTTCTAGACCCTTCCCTTTACCTCTGGGGCTGCGCCCAGCTTTTCCTACCCCCTCATACTTGTCCTCTCTCTGGCCCTCTTCTTCTGCTCCCTCTAGCGCTGCCGGGACCTCCAGAACCCCAGGGGTTCTTCAGACTTCCAGGCAACCTCCCCATCTGCCTGCTGGTGCCCCAGTCGCGCCACAGCCATGTCCCCCGTCAGGTGGTGCTGCACACAGACTGGTTCTGTGGTCATTTCTGAGGGGACATCATTCTGCTTAGCAAGTCTCCCCAACCCCCAAAGATGCCCACAAGTCCCCCCTGCCCCATTCTAAGGTCCCCCACGGCCCCATCTCATGACAGCATTATTTCGGGACGGATCAAGTCCCCTCTACATGTCCTCAGCTCAGAGTTCCACAGCTCACAGCTGAACTGCTCCGAGGGGTCACCTGTGAGCTGTGGAACCAGGGATCAATCGTCTGCTTCCAGGACAGAACGCTGGGCCAGGCGTTCACAGGGGACGCGTTACAGAGCTTGGCGGCAGTGGGAAGCCAGAATGGCGTGTTCCTGAGCCGATTTTACAACCCAGCCAGGAAGGGGGAGGTCTGGAGACGTGGGGACGATGCTGTGGACGTGGCCGCCCTGCGGTCCTCGTGAAGGGCAGCTGCGTGCTTGTGCGTCCGCTTTCTGCCCACAGAACCTGGGGACCTCACTGCCTTTTCCTGTGCCATGCTCTCTCCCCCTCACTGCACACGGGCGGTGCTTTGTGGGCTGAATCTCACGTGCGGAAGCTGTCCCGCGCGACGTTGTGACTTCAGCTGAGATTACTGAGAGGGAAACACACACGACCCACAGCCGGAGAGCTTTCTGCGTGACCGCGGGTTCTGAGGGCTGAGTCTCTGAGGTTTAAGCAAAGGTGATTTCATTAGTGCCTCTCCCTGACAGGGAACATCCTAATTTTAGCATCCTTTGTGATTGGCCAGGCCGGGGCTTTCCACACAAAGCGCCCCGATGCCTTGCTGTGCCGCACGCAGTTCTCTCTTCTCTCCTTTCATCTGCGCAGCGGGCAGGGGCCGGGCCCTGCTGTCAGCACTGTCCCAGCCCACTGCCCTCCGGAGGGCTGGAGCTGCTCCCCGCCACGCAGACACGGAGGGCCTGGCCGTGGCCTGTGGCACGTCCTCGCTTCCCGCCGCCAGCCTCGCCCACGGCAGCCTCTGTGCCCCCGTGCGCTCACCAGCTCGCCAGGCCGTCCAGCACCGTCCAATCACACATCCGCCAAGGCCAAGATCAACTCCACAGCCACAGAGTCACAGGCAGCAGCGGCGTCCTCCTGGGCCCCACATCTGTCAGCATTCTGCCATGTGTCAGGGGCACACACACACACACACACACACTTGTTCTCTTGTTGTGTAGGTCCGACATGCATCCCACTGGCTGGGTGTCCACACAGCTGGGGCACTGGAGGCTCCGTTCCCAGCCTCTTCTATCTTCTAGGCCCCTCTGGTTTGGGTCTCCTTCCTCAGTTGCAGGCCTGGGTCTCCAGGTTCCCTGGGGCCGCACTGGGGCTCTGATCCACAGGGCAGCTGTGACAGTGACTTCAGACCTGGCTCAGGGACTGGCTTGGACTGTGCACTGGACGCTGTGGGGCCGGCCAAGGTGGGCAGCGCCGGCCGCAGGGCCCCTGCACCATGGATGGGGGCTCTCAGGACACGGAAAGCTCCGTGGACAGAGCCTGCGTGGGTCCGGGTGCACCTCAGTGCTTGTCCCTCTGTTCCTGTGGCGGTCACAGCCTCAGACACTACAATCCACACCATAAAGATCAAATGGACAGAAAGAAGATAACGGGGCCCATGGATGGGACCCCAACAAGGCCGGCAGGTGAGAGGACCTGGCACCCGTAGGAAGGCTGGGCCCCTCAGTGCCGGGTGGGGACGCTGGCTCCCATCTGGGCTGGGGCACATAGTGCACCCCCGGGGTTCGCTCCAGCCAGAACGGCGGCCTCTGTCTGGACCGGTCTCCATGGAAACACCTGGCCGTGAGTCACGGCCACCTCTCATGTCCCAGGGAACACAGGAGAGTCTTCAGTGGACTGGGTCCCCACCCACGTGGCAGTGTGGTTGGAGCCGTGAGCGGCGTGTGCTTGGAACACTTCCACGCATGGGTGTCTTGGAGCCTTCCACATTTCCTCTCTCGGAGGCCGGTCCCCGCCCGGCGCCCCCCCCCCACTGTCCACTGACACCACTCCGCCATGGCTCCGCCCCTCGGTGGCTGCTCCCCTCCCGTCTCGGGTCAGGACCCTTGCTGCGGGCGCCCGGCTCCCTGAGTGCCCGCCGGCCCTGCCTGTCCTCTGCCCTTTTCCACACCAGCTCCGCACGGGGTCTGGGTAGGAGGGTGTGTGCGTTAGGCCAGGCGTGCCCACGGTGCGTGTGTCACAGAGAGCCGTGGGCAGAGCAGAGCGGGCACCGTCGCCACCCCGGGCCCCAGGCCTCGGCGTCCCCCGCCCACTGTGCTCTCCCTCGAGCCGCAGCCGGCACCTGTGCTGCCAGGTCACCCCCTGTCCACGGGGCCTCCGCGGACACGGGCCCGGCGGGGGGGCAGGGGGAGGGGAGAGGCCTCACCATCCAGCACCTGTGACCAAGGCCCGCACAGGGTGGCGCTGTGGGCACTGCACTGGCCCAGGGCTTTCCAAGTGGGCAGAGGGCAGAGGGCAGAGGGCAGAGGCGAGCGACAGACAGATGGTCAAGATGCGGCCAAGCCGGGAGCAGGCTGGCTGGCTCTGCTTTCCCGGCTTAGCCGTGTGAGCCACAGCAAAGAGAGGGCGAGGGTGCCCGGCATCCAGGCATGGCAGGCGTTTGGCGGGTGTGGAATGAACCCTGTGGCTGTTAAGGGCACAAGCCGGGGGTACTGCTGCCCGGAGGAGCTCAGGGTGGCTAATGTAAGAACCACTTCTGCTGGGCACCGGTGGCTCCCGCCTGTCATCCTAGCTACCCTGGAGGCTGAGATCTGAGGATCAGGGTTCAAAGCCAGCCTGGGCAGGAAAGTCTGTGATACTCTTATCTCCGATGAACCACCAGAAAACTGGAAGTGGCGCTGTAGCTCAAGTGGTAGGGTGCTCGCCTTGAGCTGAAGAGCTGAGGGACGGCGCCCAGGCCCTGTGTTCACACCGCATGACCGACCAAAACAAAGAACCCATGTCTGCAAAAGTGACCACCAGAAACACTGCCTCTTCCCATCACAGCAGTGTGCGCCCCCACAGTTCATGCCAGAAGAGAGGTTCTCCCTCGGAAGTCATCCGCCACACCTGCCCTGGCCCACAAAGCTAAGGGTCAGTCCCTCTGCAGGGGGCGGGGCGGAGGGCGGGCAGGACAGGATGGGGCGGGGTTTGGGGTGGGGCGGGGCGGAGGGCGGGCAGGACAGGATGGGGCGGGGCTCGGGGCGGGGCCGCGGCGTGCGCACCTCCAGGATGTCAATGACCATGCTCTCCTCCGCCTGCCGCGAGCTGCGCACGTGCTCCAGCACCAGGGAGTAGTGCACGCCGCGCGGGTCCGACTGGTACAGGTTGTAGGTGTCGGCCTGGTTCCACTCCTGCACCGCCACGAACACCTGGTTCTCGTCCGTGCTGATGATCTGCAGGTCCTGCGGGGAGGGCGGCGTCAGGGGGCCGGGGCAAGGTGCGGCCTCCCCCGGAGAGGCCTCCCGTGCATGGCCTCCCCGGTGCAGCCTCCCCCTGGAGAGGCTCCCCTGCGCAGTCTCCCCCTGGAGGGGCCTCCCGTGCATGGCCTCCCCTGTGCGGCCTCCCCCTGGAGAGGCCTCCCCTGCGCAGCCTCCCCCTGGAGGGGCCTCCCTGCGCAGTCTCCCCCTGGAGAGGCCTCCTGTGCATGGCCTCCCCTGTGCGGCCTCCCCCTGGAGAGGCCTCCCCTGCGCAGCCTCCCCCTGGAGGGGCCTCCCGTGCATGGCCTCCCCTGTGCGGCCTCCCCCTGGAGAGGCCTCCCCTGCGCAGTCTCCCCCTGGAGGGGCCTCCCGTGCATGGCCTCCCCTGTGCGGCCTCCCCCTGGAGGGGCTCCCCTGCGCAGTCTCCCCCTGGAGGGGCCTCCTGTGCATGGCCTCCCCTGTGCGGCCTCCCCCTGGAGAGGCCTCCTGTGCATGGCCTCCCCTGTGCGGCCTCCCCCTGGAGAGGCCTCCCCTGCGCAGCCTCCCCCTGGGGGGGCCTCCCGTGCATGGCCTCCCCGGTGCAGCCTCCCCTGCGTGGCCTCCCCCTGGAGAGGCCTCCCCGGTGCAGCCTCCCCTGGCATGGCCTCCCCCTGGCAGTGCAGCCTCCCCTGGGTGGCTTCCTCCTGGCAGCTTCCTCCTGGCGTGGCCTCCCCCTGGCGTGGCCTCCCCCTGGCGGTGCAGCCTCCCCGTGGGCAGCTTCCCCTGGGCGGCCTCCCCTGGGCAGTCTCCCCCCGTATGGCCTCCCTCTGGCAGGGCTTCTCCTGGGTGGGCTCCCCCTGGTGTGGCCTTCCCTCAGTGTACACAGCCTCCCCCTGGCAGCCTCCCCTGGGTAGCCTTCCCCCTGGGTGGCCTCCCCCGGTGCAGCCTCTGCTCAGCGCACAGGGCCCATGGCTGGAGACAGGCCCCTCCACCCTGCTCCGTTTTACAGCTCTGCCCAGGGTGTTGCTCATCCCTCTACCCAGCCCTCTCTCGTCCATCGGTTCTGCCCGCCCGGGGGGTTCTGGGGCCCAGGTGGCCACTGGGGCCTGGTGGATGCTGAGGTGGACGTGCGTGTGCTCACTCACCAGGCTCCTGCCCAAGCTGGACCCTGCCCTGCACCCCAGCGTGCAGAAGGCCAGCCCCCCCCCACTTCCTCCTCCATCTGCAGCTTCCTGACCTGGTACCCGGCTCCCTCCCCTGCCTCGTCCAGGCAGAGGCTCCCAGCCTCGCTCTCCCCCTCTGGGGCCAAGCCAGGTGCGTGGGCTCAGTCTCAGCTCCACATTTCATGTCCAGAAAACGTAAAGCATGAGCGCACTGGGAAGAGAAGGAGGCCTGGCAGAGGGTGGAGCCTCTGGCCTCCTCCTTCCTGCCTCTTGCTCTCAGGCTTGGGCTGTGGGAACAGCTGACCGGGGTCTGAGCAGGCCTGCAGCCGGCCCCGCCGTGGGCACGCTTTGTGCTCCTGGCACTGCCGGTCCAGCCGGGCGGAGGGGACTCGGCGGCCCCGGGGCCAGCGCTTCCGAGAGGCCTGGACCCGTGCTGTGTGTTCAGATCTCTTCACAGAGAAGCCGGGCCAGGTTGTGCCATGTGCACGGTGCACACCCAGCTCAGAGGCCTCCCCAGTCACACAAGCCGGGTCCCCGTCTGCAGGGACGGGTCGGACGCAGCGGGAGCGTGGGATCAGGAAGGTGACGGGGCACTAGCCGGCTGTGCCCGCCCAAGATGGGGCCTGCGGGGAGCACCCTGCGGGAGCAGGCCGGTCTGCACACTCGCTGCCCACCCGCCCCTCCCAGACCTCCCCGTCGGAGCCACGGCCCGCGGTCACCGCCTGCGGTCACCCCAGCTCGCAGACAGCCGCAGCGGATGGCGGGAAACGAAGCCGTGTCACCCGTCACCAGAGGGGCGCGGGGCGCGCCTGGAGGGCAGGACCCCGCCTTTATGGCAGCCAATCCCCGTCCCCTGTCAATGGTCACACAGCCAGGTAAGAAACACTTCCCACAACCTGAGAACAAACGCAAACAGTGATTTGGAGCTGTGGCTGCCGCCTGCAGGGACCCGCGTTACCATGTGGGAACGCGCGTGTCTGGCTCTGCCCTGCAGTTTGTAACTGTGGTGGGGGGGGTCCCTCTGCCGTGAACACGATGCACAAACACCGCTTTTAGTGACTGCACGATTCGCCGCAGTGACCCAGACATGTTCCACCAAGTCCTTCCCGTGAGCAGATGTGAATCTCTAGTCCCAATGTGCCTCGGCCTGTTTGCTAGCGTGGGTTCTGTGGGGACAGTCGCAGCGCTGGAGGCCACAGTGGCTGGGAAAGCATTCTTCCAGGCTGTGGAGTCACTGTCCTGAGAGACGGGGTCAGCCCCCCCGCCCCCCACCCAGCGGGACGGGGGCTCCGGGTCCCCAGCTGTGCAAGGGGCACAGTGTATGGCCTGTGCAAAACCCTCACTGCCTAGAGAGCTGTGACACACAACGCAGCTTCTGCCAAACAGGCACAGCGTTCACTTTCTGCGTTTTCCTGTGTGTGCACGTGCCTGTGTGTGTACGTGTCTTTGCGCATGCGCGCATGGCTGCTCCCAGGGCATGAACTCGGCCTGGCGCTGTCTCTGAGCATTTTTGGACAGAGTTCCTGTGGGTGTCCCGCTGGGGAGCAGGCCGCCGGGAGGCCTGGCCAGGTCACTGCCTGCAGATAGGGGGGACTGGCAGAAAGGGGAGACTTGTGGGGGAGGTCAGTGGGGAGGAGGTCAGTGGGGGAGGTCCGGGGGTCAGTGGGGGGGAGGTCAGTGGGGGGTCAATAGAGGGAGGTTGATAGGGGAAGTTCAGTGGGGGGGAGGC